TTGCCGCTTGTGGCTATATTATGTTCATTATTTATGGACAAACTTAAAATGTTAGTGATGTATCTATTTGTAATTTTATTAAGTTAACAACTGAGGCAGATAGATATAATTTAAAATTTAAGACAAAACTGAGGATTTTCTTCTGTGGGATATCCCTGTTTCAGCAGCTCCACTCCAAGCTCCTCTGAGCTCCACCTCAAGAACACATTTAAACACAATCAATCAATGAACCTGCCCAGGGGTGACAGGTGGAAATTAGCTCTGGTGCTACAACCTGGTACGAAGCATCTCTCCTGTTAAGGAGAGCTTAACTAAATAACTAAAAAAATAAATAAATAAGAGCAAAGAGGGACTGTGAGCAAATATAAATGCTTTGTGTCAACTAATTACACCCTAGGTAGTGGACTCATGGAGTATGTACTTTCAGTTGCCATGGACTACACATCTTTGGTGCTGTCCCAGTGCAGGAACATTAACTATAAAGTCCCAGCGGCCAGAGTGATGAAGGATCGCTGTCGTCAACTGGGACAGAAGCTCACCTCTGTGGAGGAGGTGGTCCAGGCCCTCCAAAACAGACCATCTGGCTCCATTACCTCACAGGTAAAACACACAGTGATAAAAAAAAAAAAAAATTCAACAAAAAAACACAAAGACAAGCATTTATGATCTTGTTATATTCTCGTTTCAGGTGGGTGGAGGTCTGCAGAAACTCTACACAACCTTGATAAGTGTAGAAAGTCTGGTTCAGAAGTGCACCGTGAACAGATTGGTGAACAAAGTCAAATACAAGAATGAGTTTAATGCCCTGGAAGAGATGATCCAAAACAGTCTGAGTGTCCTGACCACCATCCCACATGTCAGCCACGCTCCCCCCACCCTCCAGGTCCCTTCCAAAAGCCCATTCCAATCTGCGCTGGGCTACACAGTAGGGGACGTGAATGCTGAGCCAGACTTTGGGGCGTTGTTGCCCTTAGCTCTAGGTGGAGCTGTAGCTCCTGCTCAAAATCGGTTTGCCAGCCCTCCGGCCAATGTGGAGATTGAGTCAGTGGTGTTAGTGGACAATGGTCGTCTGCTTATTGCAGAGCGCATCACTGGGCGTTTGTAAAATGCACTGAAATTATGCACTACCATAACAGCATATCTCTATATTGTCCTTGTTCCACTGTGTCCTTTTTTACTCCAAACAAAAAACTTCTGTTTCTAAGATGATACCAGCTCTAAGTGAAACAGATTTTGAATTCTGTCATGTCATATCTTTTGGATCAAAATGTATGTTCATTAAATTCTAAAAATAAAATGTAAATTATTATTATTTGTGTGTGTGTGTGTGTTTTTGAATAAAGTTGTTGCTAAAGATGTAAAGCCTCTACCTGGGATTAAACTGACAGCATCAAGATTATCAGGCGTATTAGGCATTAGGCAATATCTATGATAATTATTTTGTAAAGATTTTCTCCCCACTCTGTCTTTCATACGACAACGACAACAACTACATTCTGTGTTCTTTTTTAAGTAGCAGTTGTCATGAAAGTAAAGAATAAAATCTTACATAACGCAATATTAATGGTTAATAAAAAAAACCTCATTCACCTCAATAGCAATCATTTACTAGCAACAGAAAGTGAAAGTGTTATCCCCACACATGGGCAGAGCCTGTTTAAACTCAATTTGTATTGACAACAGCAGACATGACTCATGGTTTGGGACTGTCATGCTCTGATCAGACCTGGGAGTCAAAGTCGATGTTGAACACCTCTAGTTGGATGCCTTTGAATTTGAAGGAAGAAACCCTAATAATCATTTTTGCAAAAACAATATATCCTTTAAAATGAGAACAGCAATATTATATGTTTTTTGAAAGCTTTCGAGATTCCCCACATCACTGTGGGTTTGGCCTATTGACTCAGTGTTGACCACTACTTGTTAGCAATAACAAACATGGGTGCCCCACGCCTTTGGTGTTGGTCGCTAGGATACTGTTGTTCATGCAGGGGGCAATCGAGGGACACAGTTGAGCGCTTCACCCATGCACTCAGCGAAAGTAATAGGCCCTACGCCCTGTAGCGGCTCGGGCCTAATAATAATATCCCATGTATCATTTTGGATGAGATATCAATCAGTTTGCTGAGTGACCATGGACCTAGCGGTGCATGGATGTGACGCACCTGCATCATTGCTATTGTTTTTCCTCAAATCGTACGTGTTTTGCTGGTTGTTATGTTGTGTCGCCTCCACTCACCCAGTATGTAATAGAAGTTTTCCTGTACAGTGTTCCATCGATGTACAACTTGTCCACGGATAGTTGAAGCCTTTTGTTGTTTCCCTGTGCTTCCTTCATTATGGGGTATAGCAGTCTGTGCCTCTTAATTATTTATATAGAGGGAACTGGTCGCTGATGAAAAATGTTGTTGCTTTGAGCTCCTTTCTTCTCTTTAAAACCCTGAATTTTCATTTTGAATTGGAGAGTTGTGCCACGATACGACGACACGGCCATTGACCTTCCTGATTACGACCGATGCGATGGGCTCGGTTGAAGAGGAGACTCTGCACCTCTTGTTTCTTCATCCTCATGAAAGTTTCAACAAGCTGCTCCATTGTGGTAAGTTTCCTTACTCCCTACTGGAACACCATGAATGATAATGTTGTCTCACATACTTCTGCTTTGCACGTCCAGTACATGTTCCATGACTTGAGCTTTTAGAGCATGTAGCTCAGTAGTTTGTGGATGTTGACCTCTGCTCTCAGCGAGGCATTCTCTTCTTTCAGTTCTTCTACCAGTGATATTTGGAAATCCAGTGACTCGCATTTCCTTAATGTTCTTTGTTTGGTCCTTGAATTCACTGGAGCTTAGTTGTTGTCTTCCTTGCTTGCTCTTACGTTTACTGGATGTTGTGGTAATATAAGACTCCACATCACTTAACAGCTCTTCATCCTGATGATTCCAACTTGTGATTTATGTTTTGGCACTGCAAATATTAGAGTTTAGCAGCCTTTTTGTGCAGGGAGTGCAGTTCACCTTCTGTCAGCCATCTTGTTCTTTTCAAATAACTGTGATTCTTTCTGCTATACCGTCACGATCTATCACATCATCTATCTCTCAACTGAGGTTCAAGTGTGACTGTAATACCTAGTAAAAAAGAAAGAAAAAAATGTACTAAATAAAACCTTCTCATACAGGGGCAGCAAAGAGTAGAACAAGCTCCCAGACAGGCTGAAACTCTCCTGTGACCTCAGTGACTTCTCTTATAATGTTAAAAAAAGGTCCTTTTAGAGAGTCAGCACTGTCAACACTGGCATGTATTTGCATGTGGGAGCTTAAATGGTCATATCTGATTTTGTATTTGAGCAATTTTAAATGTGAAAATGTGGATGTGAAGTTTTTAAATGAAAGAAAGGGAGTGCACAGGTTTGACTGTAAATGGATGGATACTGTATTTTTTGGACTAAACAGTAAGTCACACTTTTTTAATGGTTTGGGTGTTTCCTGTGACTTATACTCCAGTGTGACTTATATATTAAAATGTTCACACTGAAGCCTCGACAGGTTCTAGTCTTGTATGTGAGTATCTGCTGCTTCTGTTCCTCCTGTACCACTGTCACTTCACTCTACTGCACATGTCTCCTGCAGAAAGAGCCTCTGTCCTGCTGCAAGTCATGAAATATTCAGCCGAAAACAGTAATCGAGCAACAGACAGAAAGTCTGGAGTGAACGAGAAACTTGTGACACCGGGAGGATGTAACATGAAACTTTCCTGAAGTCACTGGATGGATGGACAAAGTCTGGACTTCAGTGACACTGAAACCATCCTGTCGAGATTCAGAAAGACCCGAACAATTCTAACTGGAACTGATGCTGAGTCTGATGACAGCGACACAGAACAGGAAGCGACGCTCCGTTTACCTCCGGAGGTGACTGAGTTGCTCAACTCTGAACTCTGACCAACTGAATGGATTTAGTGATTTGGAGTGAGATGGAGAGTTTGGTAAACTTGTTCTGTTCTGTTGTTTATGTTATAGTTTATCTGAAGAACTGTTCATATGTGACGTTAACAGTCTGTTGTTCTCTGTTCTCTTGTTATTACTACAATTTGACTTTACACATGAAATATCGGTTTGGAAATGAACAGACTAAAAACCCTCCTCCAGTGCTCCTTTTGTATCAAAAATGGGCTTTCTGAAAACTTCTTGCAACTTAATGATGAAAAAACAGAAAATTATTCTGGCACCAGATGAAAAAAATCCTCTAGCATTTTTGCTAGAGGATTTTAAAATCCTCTAGCATTTTTTCCCCTCTTCTGTCTAGCAGCTCTAGACACTGCTATTTAGACAGGCTTTTAGTTGACTGTTTCTCTAATTCCTCTGTTCTTGTTTATGTTGTTTTTATGTTGTTTTTTGCTCTGTAAAGCACTTCGTGATTTTTTTTTTTCTATCTGTGAAAGGTGCTATATAAATAATGATTTACTCACTTCCTGGTCTCTGATTTTATAAAATACATTTCCCCCAAAAAGTGTGACTTATAGTTTAGTGCAACTTATATATTTTATATATATATATATATATATATATATTTTTTTTCTTCTTCTTCATTATCCATTTTTTGGCTGGTGCGACTTATAGTCCAGAGCGACTTATAGTCTGAAAAATACAGTACTTGGATGTATTTAAATTTTTTCTTCACCTGCCCAGGGACTGCAGATGGAAAGTAGCTTTAGCTAAATCTGGAATGAAACATCTTTCCTTTAATAACATGAATGTGTTTACCTCTGTTTAAATAAAGCAATAAACTCAACTAAACACTGTCTGGGTTAATACACAAACTTAAATTGATTATAATTTTAGCATTTGAACACTTCTTTTGCTTGGTGATTTAAGTCATTCTTGTTTATTGACTGTAATATATTGCTGCTCTTCCAACTTGACCACTGGAACACAGAAACTCAGAGAAAACATGACGGCTCATCCCTCTCCAAACAGACCATCAAAGAAAGAGTCCATGAAAACTTGTTTATAAAATTTTATTACAAAAATATTTAAATACAAAATAAATACCACAAATATACAAACATGTCTGTACAAGAGCTCCCAGATATTAAAGTTAGTTTGAAGAATGAAGGTGCAACATTTTTCTGAATAAACATCTCAAGAAGTTAAATAGAGTAATAAAATATAGTCTCTTAAGCCCCATTCACACATGCACAAGTCCCAGAACATTTCCTGGGTCTGCATCTAACTCTGTGCTCTCTGACAATGGAATGTAACCATGTAGCGTAACCAGGGTAACCGAACTCATAACCAGGGAAACCAAAGTTGTTACTTAGGAAACAAAGTGGTTGTCCCGGCAATTTTCTGGCTTCATTCACACTTATTGATACTTTGCAGTGACGTCACACGGGGGGTGTTCTACATGTATCTCTATTGGCAGAATGTTCAGCAGTTGCCATGGTGAGGCAATGCACACATTAGCACATACAGCCAAAATTAGGTTTTAAAATAGAAGAAACAATTGTAAACAGATTTGAACAACACATTTTCAGGAGCATGTGATCGATACAAGAGTTCATGGTCCTGTTTAGGTGTTTTCATCAAAAAGGTGAATGCGACTAACTGAACTTGTGACTGTAATTTTATGTGTAATTTTATATTTTTTTGTGTGTATTTGAAACTATAAGGCGCACTTTTTTTTTCTTCGATTTATAATCCAGTGCACCTTACGTATTAATTCTGGTTGTGCTTACTGACCTGAACCTGAACCTATGTGGTACACGGGGCTCAAAAATCTGTCCAAATATTTTTGTACAACTTTGATAAACTACAGACTTGATGGAATGTTGGAGCATTACGGCTGCTGAAGTCAGGAGCCTCATGGAGTAATACACATTCACCAAGACAGGGAAGCACAATCTGCCGACGGATCGTGGACGCCTGGGCTTAGGGATCAGTTTCAAGTGTCGTCCGAGTTTTCACCAAGGCTCGAATCATCACTGAACAGAGAAGTAACAGCGACGAGACTGATTCGGAAAAGTGGAATGTGATCTGGGCTTGATGCCGAAATCGCAAACCTTTTAAACTCAGACACTGAAGATGAAGAATTTGGATTTGTGGAAGAGGAATGAACTGTAAAAGTGAGTGCATTGTTTTGTGTTTTATGTGTTACAACTGAACAATGTTGAGAGTTGTTGTGAATGAATGAATAAAGTTTGATGTATCTGACTTTTGTTTCACTTATTGCACCTTATAATCCTTATGAAAATAGACGAGACAATTCAACATTACTGATATTGTGCACTTTATAATCCGTGCACCTTATAGTCCTAAAAATACGGTACTCTGTTATTATATTATATTGTGATTTGTGAGCTACTGTGTCCAAATAATTTCCCTTATGGCTCTATAAAGTTTGTGTAAATCTTAGAGTGAGTTTTAAGTGCATAAATCAGATCACGTGTTGTAGTTCCAACTAATTCAGTTCTTCATGTTAAAACAAAGCTCAGAATCCGAGCTTCTAACAGAGCAGTGCCTTCCATTATCAGCTGCAAAGTATCATTTCCCAGTAGTTAATTACCAGGGGAATTACCAGCTCAAAAATGCATTAACATCAGTTGTGTCTTCGTTCACACGTGACCCTGTTGTGGCAAAATGCAGGGTCAGGTCGCATGTGTGAATGAGGCTTGATTTAGCTCAAAGCCGAGTCCCTCTTTGACGAAGTTCCTGGCTGAAGAATTCACTTCCAGGCTGGTCCGTGTCAGGGCTGAGGCTGGTTGAACTGTCCCATGAACAGAACCGCTCCTGTGGGCGTAAAGAGATGTCAGTGACGCTGCTGATGAACAGGACAGACTCTTCTAACCATAGACTCTATAGGCAAGTTCACTGTTGATAAAAGCGCGCGTTGCATGCTGGGAATTATTTTGGTCGGCGGCAATAAACACTAATTCAACATGACGGACGGAGCGAGAAAGCACATAAAGGGTATTGATCCCGGTTATTTATCCACTCTAACGGCAGAGGACCCAAGACCATTTGACCAGAAATTGGTCATAAGCATCGATGGACGACAAATCACCCTTTTCAACCCCGACAAAAGTTGGACCAAACCAAATTTCTGGTCGGAATTGCCAACTACCTGGACAAATATTCACTTCAGGCGATATCCACAATGACTTGGTGGAAACTCCTGGGCCATTCACAGCAGAAAAGATGAAAACCTCTAAGAGTCTCGATGTGTTGTTGAACTTGTTGGAGTCCAAGGTTTGTTAGGATCTTCTACGTTTGCTCTGCGAATGTTTGAAAGTCCGTTTAATTCACCGTTAGCGGTTCTTTTCACTCAGAATACGAAAAAGACATTTTCCTTCTTCCCTGCTTCTATTTGTGCATCCGATAATGCAGCAGGAATTTACCATTATCGGGGAGAAATACGCGAGGTTACGCACTGTGTTTTGACGCTACCGTGTTTCTTGCCTCCGACCAAAATATTTCCCAGCATGCAATGCGGGCTTTTAATAATAACAATGACGTCAGCTGAAACTCGCCTATAAAGAGAGTGTGATGTCTCCAAAATGAAGCTCACTGGCCACGTTTACATGATGTTTTTTTTTGTTTTGAATTAAATAGTTCTGATTTAAAATATTCTCCTTGGAGTTTACATGGACATAATAATTCCGAATTGAGGTTTACATGGAAAACACGTTAATTCGCTTTTATTTAATTCTGCTCAGCGTCTGGGGGTGGAGAAGGTTCTGATTGGACAGAGACACCAACGTATTTACATCGAACCGGAAGAAAACACACAGACGAGATCCAAACTTTTTTCGCAGCAACTTTTTGATAATTGTGCAGCAGCTGGAGAATTGTCTCATTGCGCTTTACGTCTGTCAGCTGAGGAGGAGAAGGGAAAAGTGTCGGAGAAGGAGGAAGAAGACAAAGTGAGTGTGAGGCTGCTCTCCCACATCCCGCTCACAAATCCAAAGAGACGTGGATTAAAGTCCGAAGTCAGGACTGGTGGAGCCGGATCGTCCGGATCACGTCAGAAGGACGACAAAACGAGCATCCACCGAACTACCGACATTATTTTTAACAAGAATAAACGTGAAACATGATCCAGGAAGAAATTCATTTGGCTTTAAAATCGGAATAAAACTCCCACTTACTTAATCATTTTCATCATTTAATAATCATTTTCATTAAGAATTGTGTTTACATGGTCATTTTAAAGGAGTTTTAAAGTTCAATTCTTTTAGTTCTTCGCTGCTTTTCCCTTGTCTTCTTCTTTCAGCGAAAAACGGACTTTCTTTGCGGCTAAATTTTGTCTATTGCAGTTAACTGCGAGGAAGATTAGGTCAAAAAGCTAAGAACTGTTGCGTTGGTGGAAAACAGCGTGTGCATCTTGCGTCTGTGGACTGCGTGAAGGCTACGTAAACCACGTACCGGCGGCGCGCAGGCAGGTAACGCTAGAAACGTAGGGAGTTTGATTGATAGCTGTCAGCTAACAGATAACGAGGCAGTGTCGTTATCTATTGGCAAATAGCTGGCCCCAACGTCCAGAGTTGATTTTTATTCTCTTTTTTTTGGTCATCATAATTACAAGGCTACTGCACCTCTATAATGCTATCATTGACAACTTGAAACAAAAAAACAAAAAAAAAATCCTCCATACAACTTTAAGAATTAAGTGTTTACATGGTCATTTTAAAGAGGAATTCATTTTTCTTCAGAATTAAATTTTTTTTGTTCCGAATTAAAACTGTAAACGTGGCAACTGAGTCTAGCAGTAGCAGCAGTCGTATTAGGATAGGAATATATTTACGGACAAAATAGCTAAATAAAAACACCAGGATCATGTATAACGGGTTAATACGAACATTTAAGACCAACACGAGAAGTCAGACAGCAGAAAGAAGGGCGATGTTTTTTCAATACAAAGATTGATTTTGAGTGGACGCAATCAGCAAAATGTAAAAAAAAGCTAACATTTTTGAAGAGCCATAATTTCCTTTAAAATATGAAACCATTTTGATTTCAATTTTTGGGATTGACTGGACAGTTTGATCTGCCTTTTTCTTGTTATTGTCACCATCATACCTGTGTGTTTGTGTTGGACCATGAAGAGAAAGGGCCGGTCCAGAGTGATCTCCTCCACTGCCATCCGCGAAAACATGACGGCAGCTGAAAGAAGAGAGGACATAGTTTAGTAAGGACTGGGCGCTTAGCAATGCTGTCAATCAAAGCTTTGACCGCTGACAGTTACGGTGAGAGAGCAGGTTAGATATGTCCATTTATGCAGTCTGTAGTTAAATAATAGAGGCTAAGAGGCTAAAATTGACCAGGAAATCTTTTATCTTGTCCATGTTCTGACTTTTGCTGTCACCTGTCTGTAAATGTCTCTCCACCCATCACCTCTGCTTCTATCCATTCTCTCTCAGCCTACTAAGCCTCTCCATCTCTTTTCTTAACAAATCTATTGTCTAGTATTAAAACATGTATTCTTTTAGTTAAAATAACGACTAGAACTTGAGCTGTGTTTCTGGAGACTCACCTGAGGCTGCTGCTCCCTTGGTGCCGTGCTCATTGACTTCTAATGTGACTTTCTGCAGAACCTTGGACACACAAAGTCTCTCGTCAGCTGAAAGAAAAGGAACATTCCAAATGTTAGTCAATATCATTTAGTAAATATAAATGTCAATTTATTGAATTAAGAATAATAGAATGTGAACAAAAGTCTGTTAACAAAAACATTCTTATTCTGGGAGGGTAATGTAGTGGGTTGAAAAACACTGTATTTAAAGTTTTATGTGGAAACACACACACCCTTTATTAATTTTTTTGTATTCTTTCTAATGTCTTTTATTTTGGGTGCAATACACATCTCGACCAGTAGATGGTGCTGTTAGTGCTACTGTGGGGACTAGAGGGACACAGCGCAGGCTCAGCTTCAGAATGAAACTGCTGTGGCCAGACTCATGTCTCTTCTTCGTCTATCCACAGGGATGATTAGAAAGTTCTTCTATTAACTCACACTTGATCCAAACACATTTGAGATAATTGTGTAAAGGCTTTAAACCAACTGTGAAAGTTTCAGAGTTTTATGTATTTTTGTACTGTTTCATATAGGCCTGTTTCTAACGTCCACCATGTTTAGTATTAAGTAGTAAAGTAGTAATAACATATTTCAAGCTCTATTTAAGCAAAGTCATTTGCTGAAGTGTCTGGGGGTGGGGGAACCAAACACATACTAAAGTAAGTTTACACACAGATACAGAAACTGCTCAAATCCAAGTGTGAGGCAGCTGCCATTTGTATTTTTCCTGTAGTTTATTCGGAGGCAGGTCTGGGAGGACTATTTCAGATCTAAACATGGTCTGAAAACGATATCTTCATCCTGTAAACAGGCCTCTTTTGTCTATTTTTTTTGGACTGAAGCAATTTTTGATGAAAAAGAACATACTGGTGATGCGTGTGAAGTCCGCAGTTGCCAGGTTGAACATGTTTCCCAGTCCCATGTTGCTGAGCACCTTCTTCATGTCCAGATCAGATGCTAGAGTGAATCTGTGAGAACAAAAACAAATTGCAATTTTTTAAGTATTCCAATATTTAAAACGTAGGATTCTATTCAGAGTGCACATTGTAAACAACATATGAACTGATGAACTAACAAAATACAATAATTCCATTTCAGAACATGTTTGTAGAGCTCTAAAGTACAGATAAAACTGATGTTTTTCTATAAAAAATTAGGAGGGAAAAACATGTCATTGATATTTTGTTGTTTGTGATAGTAGTGATGGGTGAATCGATACCAGATATTGATATAATATATCAACTCAGGAAAAGTATTAATTCTCTTTTGTTTGTAAAAATCCCTCAGTCTCTCAGTCCTCGCTACACTGAATGGAGCAGACCACAGACATCATCTGTCTCTTACTAAACTCCATCCTAAACATGATACAGGGTTTACTGAGCTGAGCTCTTCCCTGGCTCCATCACACTGGTACAGGTCTGTGGAGGACACTTACTATAGGGAAATATGATGCAGGATTTCTTCCAGCACATCACAAGAAGGTCTACAGGTCTAAGATGGGGGACAATGGGAGGCTAAGTGTCTCGGTCTACTATAAGAAGACCCACACAGACCACTACCTCCTCGTCTCCTCACACCCTGCAGTTATCCACACGCTAGGGCCAGTCAACACTCTGTTATAGAGAGCAGATTCTGTCTCAGAGTGTCAGAGTTCCTCATGTGCGTGAGGAGCAGTGGAGGTGTGGTTATGGAGACTGGACCTTTGCCAGGGTTAACAACCAGAGGCTCATACCTCCCTTCCCTACATAAACAATTTATCAGAACAGCTGAAGAGCTTGTTCTCCATACATGGCATCAGCACTGCCTTGAAACCCATTAACACAAGGGCAGGAAAGCAGGAGGAGTGTGAAGATAAAGTGGAGCACAGAGGCTTGCAACAGCATGTTAGTGAAAACAGCTGGAGAAGTGCCTCTATCAACACCACCGCAACATGTCTTCTGGTCTGGACTGTGCTGTGCACCTGCACATGAAGGAGAAGAGCCTTTGCCAACAGCCACACCCTCCTGTTGGATCAAGAGCCTCTTTAGTTTGAGAGAGGCCTAAGACGAGCCCTAAACAGACTCAGACATGGAAGACTACACTTGCAGCTCTCTCACATCTGAGACAAAACCACACCACTGCTGCCCCAGGTCTTTTTTGGTGACACCACCACCACCTTTACATCTGAAGGGGAGCAGCAGTCACCTACACAAGTCCTGAAGAGGCTGTCCGGATGGGTTTTAAACTAAGTAAGCCAGGTAGTTCTTGTTTCAATAATACTTAAAAAAATAAATAAATAAATAAAATAAAATTTGTAGTCTGAAACTAAGTTGTTTTTAATATAGTTTTCTCTGCACATAAATGTATTTTTCTAGATCACACACAATAATCAATATTGCAAGAAAATAAATATATTGCAGCAGTACTGTTTTCCATTTCACAGTAACTTACTGCTTAAAAGAAAAAAAGGCAGATTTGATCCATTTCGATATTTGGCCTTGGATTAGTAAGGTTTTATTTTGAGTTAGACTAGTAAATAAAGAACTTTTATTTTTATTTAACTGAACCTATTGAGTCAAAAAGTATGTTCAAATATCAAATAATAAATCACTGGTATCGTCCGTCCATAGTTTGCAGAGGACATTCTATTACATACAATTCTACTACCTCAGATTGCAATTGTAATTACTGTGACATAAACTGTTCATCCCTATTGAACACCCACCCAACCTGCCAACCTCACCCACCAGCCCCACCCAGCCAGTCCCACCCAACCAGCCCCACAGCACCCGTCCTACCTGGGCATGGCCAGCTGTCTCTTGACCAGTCTCATCCCCTCTCTCCACCTCCTCAGGGTGTGACTGGTCAGCTCTGTGGACAGGACGCTCAGAGGGACGTCACGTTCGAATGGAGAGACCAGGAGCATGCTCAGTGAGTCCCCCTCGTAGGGCACTTCGATCACGTCGTAGTCCACTCCCCCGGCGGTCACAAACTCCCCTGTGAGAACAGACACATGGGATGAGTTGTTTGGACGCCACATGAATGACCAGAATGTATTTGGTGACATTAAAGGTGCACTGTGAAACTTTTCTGGACTCTCTCTGTGCAGTTGTTATTACTCCATAGAGACAAGCAGGTAACAAATCAGATCTATGGAGAGGAATGCCCACTCACAGTAACAATACATATTTTTCAAAGTATATTTTATAGCAGTCACAATACCCCCACTGGAAATATTGCAATGTGCACCTTCAAGAGTTTTCTGGCAACAATCATAAATCATTTAAATTTCCCAATCTTGAAACTTTTGAACTCAATTTAACTGTAAGTATATCTTCTTTCTAGACTAGACCAAAGTAAAAATCCTTAAAATATTACTTAAAGAAATGTTAACCAATTCTAGATTTTGCAGAGCTCTTTACACCAAGGAACCATTCAAGCACTGACGCACCAAAACACTAAAACATTCATAAACCAGCGTCCAGAGAATGTCTCACGGAAGGACACAACAGCAGCAGTATGTGTTGGTAGTAGTGAGGATTCCAAACAACTGAAACAACTGAAACAACTGAAACAACTGAAACAACTGACATTTTCTTCATTTCTTGGCCTGTTGGACTTGTTTGACAGGACATTAGAGTCTTAAATTGGAGTGAAGAGAGATAGCCAATCCGTGTATCATTTGTTCATTCCTTTTTCAATATAAAACTAAAAGTAAGAAAACGAAAAAACTGTTTTCTTCATTATTTATCTCCAAAACCAAAATGAAAAAACGGATAAAGATTAGTTTTTTCAGTTTTGTGTTGGAAAATGGAAAAAACGTTTACGTGACTTCCGTGACTGTGATGCCGGACATTTGCACTGCATACGGACTGAATCAGGACCAGGACCAGACCGGAACCAGACTGGGACTAAGACCAGGACCAGACTGGGACCAGAGTGGGACTGAGACCGAGACCAGAGCGGGACCAGACCGGAGGCTCAGAGCCCAGTTCGAAGCTGAGGCTTGGACCCCACAGTGGCTCAGAGTCAAAGCTCGGAGTCCGCTCTGGTCCCGTTCTGGTCCCGGTCCTGGATCAGTCCTGGTTCAGTCCATATGCGGTGCAAAAGTCCAGCATCACAGTCACGGAAGTCACGTAAACGGGTGTTATCCGTTTTTTCCATTCTTCATTTAAATACAAAATCAAAAAACTAAAAAAAACAACAAATCGTTATCTGTTTTTTCAAGAAAACTGTTGTTTTTTTCATTTTCTTATTTTTGGTTTTATATTGAAAAACAAATGAACGAATAATACATGGATTATAGACGTACCAGAAATGTCCACAACTTTTCTTTTAATACAGAAGTACTGGCTGCTACCATCTAACCGGGCGATGTGTGAGTGACTGTATCAAAGTAATTCCTTGTGGATCAATGAAGTTCGCCTAAGTCTAAGTCTATCTACAGATTGTCTAAGTGAAAATGTGTGTGTCCTGACCGTAGTGGAAGCGGTCTGTGAGCCTCATCATGTGCACTGGGGTCTGGGTCCCGTTGGCGCACAGGAACATCCTCTCCTGGGTGAGCCGGGGGTCGAACGGGACCTTCCACAGCCCGTGGAAGTGCAGCGCGTTCAGCATCACCAAACGTGTCTCCTCCGTCAGAGAACCGTTAGCCAGGAAGTTTGAGATGGCTCCTAAACAAGACAAAGACTTTATTAATAACATCTGTCTGTGTGTTACAAAATCCTACATTTAGAATCTTAGTTTGAGCAGTTTTAAGGTATCAAAACTATGGCTTTAAGTATCACCCAGTATCCGATATTGACCAATACCAGCTTAGAAATTGAAAATAGATTTTTTTTCTCTTAAAACGTTGTTAACAAATTTGATCCAGTTGCAGTTTATTTATCACAGAAGTAAATCTCAACAACTTTGCATGAATTAAAGTTCAAACATTCTGCGACATCCTGGGCCTACATCAGTCTGTAAATAGTCTCATTACGTCCAAAAGGTCCAACCAGGATGTCGACTGAACCGATGTCATGGAACTGATTCCCGATCCAGCTAATTTTCTTGTATTGCCGGCAATATTCAACACCAGTATCAGTATCGAGACATTTCTACTACTTATAATTAACAATAGTGAAAATACCGTTGGTGTTGTCGGAGACCCAGGCGTTGATGATGCTGACCGCCTCCTCCGGCCGGCTGAAGTCCACCTGGTGAGGGTGTGTGAGGAAGGCTTTGGCCAGGGCTCGTCTGTAGCCCTTCTCTATGGACATCTTTCTCTCCACCAGGACCCCGGTGGCAACGTCCACGCCCTCCTCCGCGGACACGTCCCTCTGGAGGAGACGCTGCTGCCGGGCCATGCCTCGCTCTGGAACAACAACAGCACCATTTGATTTGAGTCCATATGTTAAAGCTGCTTCAGAACATACACATTATTATTCAGTTTTTTCTAATGTTCACTTAAAGCTCCTATAGTAAACAAAATGGACTCTTCTGAGCTTTAAGCTGTAATCACTGTTAACTTCCTGTATCACCACATGACATCACAAGGTGGAACAGTGTTTTCCATGTGAGGGAGGAACTCAGGCTAAATGTGCAGGGTTTGTGAGTTAAATGTGTGAATAAAACAAAACACAACTCCAGGTCTGTTTGTGATGAGGAAACTACATTATAATATAAATCAGAAAATAGCTTAACCTTTCCAGACCGACAGTACCATATGTACAATACCTGGGAATCCAACCATACAAGATAGAAACTTTTTTTCCTTGAAACACTGAGATTTGCAACTTTCTGAGCATATTTTTGTCATTATCCTACATCACATGCACGCTGCGTGGTAATGCAGGGAAAACAAGTGTCCAATAGGAACTTTGTTTTTGGCCAAACTCATGTGCTCATGTGCTCCATGATCCATTTTGGCCCAAACTCTGCCAAAGAATGTAACGAGTCAAAATGGCCGATGATCTGAGCGTCTGTATTCGTAACAACTGAAAAAGCTGAAACTCTAAGTGCACTTATTTCTCAAATAAATGGAAAATTACAAATCTTGGTCTGTGTAATTGTGCATCTTTTGCAGTTTTTATTTTCAGGTTTATTTGAGTCCAAATGTCCAAATCCAAATGTAATAAACCCCATGGAAATGCAGAAGTGATGTGGCTCTGAGCCCTGGACCTGACACCAGCTGCTTCCATGACTGACACCAGGAAGGTTCATTGCACTTTTTTTTGTTTTGTTTGTTTGTTTGTTTGTTTTTTTGAAGCAATAAGGAGATGTTGAGTTTACTTACACACTTGATATTTTGTAGCTAAGGCCCTAAATTAAGTATTTTTTATATCCAAAAAATGTTTATACATGTTTGCTGTGTGTTTTGTATGAAAGAGTGTGAATTTTATTATCCTTTTTTCTTTCTTTTTCATTTGTATTTCTGGTCCTGTAGTTTTTATTACAGTCATATAACACAACTACAGCAACAGATTGTGAAATAACAGGCTGTACTGAAAAAAAGGATGTATCACACTTCATTAGGGGTAAAAGGAGGAGTTTTAATAACAAAATTAAGAAAAAAAATTCCAGACGAGGACAAAAGTACTAAAACTGCCCTCAGGTCTAGAAGGGTTCATATGGCCCTTTAAAATGAACTAGTTCTTTTTTCATCAAATACAAGAATCACAGTTTTCTGCCTTACTGAACAAAGTTGTGAACAGTGTGTACCTCTCATAGAAAATCCCATTGCGGCGGTCAGAGCCTTGTGCGTGTGTCCGCCGGCGCCCAGCTGAGCCAGGGACATCACCGCGGTAATTCCGAACGGAGAGAAGACCACGCTCTGGTTGGACCGGTCCTGCGACAGTCCTGAGAAGACCTTAAAGCCGAAGTCCATCTGCGCGTCCATCAGGGAGCCGCGGACCAGGGCGGCCGGGGTCAGCAACAGGCAAATACACAGAGCAAACATTCTGCAAAATAAAGAGAATGGGGATTAAGTTGGAGGAAATACTATGTTTTTATGAGGTTATTTTCAGATTTATGTTATAATGTTGTTTTCCTTGTCGTTGAGTTTTGTTTCATTTGCACATGTTTAACACACAAACCCTGCACATTTAGGCTCTTATGTGTTTTATCTCAAACTGAAAACACTCTGTTCCATTTTGTAATGTCATGTCGTATCAAAGGAAGAGCTCCACTGTGTTTTTAAACTTCACACACCTTCACTAGAGACATTTGGGTCATTTCAGCTCTAGAACTGCCAATCTCTACTGAATTAGATGTAACAGGAACCTGAAAATGACCACAGTCATGACATCACAAGGTGGAACAGAGCATTTTGAGCTTTGGAAATGTAGACAGACTAAAAATAATGGATTATACAAATGTGTGAATGGAGCAAAACACAACTTCAACTATGTTTCTGATGTGGTCACAACATTAGAACATGGCTAAAAGGTCACATGAGTCAATTTTGTGTAATATAGGACCTTCAAAACAATGGCAACAAACCAACAGCATTGGCGACATTCGTAAAACGTGAACTCAGAATGACTATAAAACAAATCTAACACAGTTTATGAATTGTGATGACATTTTTGTGTTGATTTTACAATATAATGCAGAAAAAAAAGACAAAAAATTAAAATATATAAAGCCCATAAAACAAATCGACACACACACAAATCTAAATATAGAAAGAATAGAAAATAAATAAAGCCAGATTTCTACACCTTAAAGAAAATTTGTTCAGAACCACACAGTGTATGTCAGATTTTTTCAGGTCTGACTTTCAAAAAAACATCTACAATCCAGCGTTGTACAGAAGGTGACACAGGGGTTTTCCACTTTAAAAGAACATGGAGAAAAATCCCACACACCGTCTTACTTGCAAATAGTGAAATTTATTCAGACAAACTGTGCAACGTTTCGGCACTAGACCTTCGTCAGGCAAACAGAATGAGAGCTCAGGTGGCCATCTTAAATAGGGTGTGGCAAGCACCCAAGGGTGACCGCACACTCACACAAAGGGAAGCATTTTGGATTCACACTCTCCAAACTTTAGCTCCAAAAGGACTCAATGATCATTTTAACCTTAGCATCTGAAGTTTGTCCTAATAAATTTCACTATTTGCAACTAAAACGGTGTGCGGGATTTTTCTCCATGTTCTTGGGCTGCTCCTTCTCCTCCAACACACCCATCTCTAGGAATTGATGTGCGAGGCTCTCATTCTTTCAACCAGTTTAAAAGAATAAAACGATGAGTCAGTAGAGTCCTAAAAGCAATCACCATCTCCAGGTAAGACCCCGAACAGCACAATAAGAGGACCTGGTGAGATCTGTACTCCTAACACTGTGGATAAAGCCTCAAATCTGCTTTTCCAGTGTCCTTCTAAACCAGGGCGAGACCAGAACATGTGAAGAAGTGCAGCCTCACTGATCTCGCCTCTGAATTGTGATTACATTTTGAACAATGCAAAGTAAACTGTTATTAGTTTTACACCATACCACCCACCCACCGCCCACCGACCTCCACCCACCGACCTCCACCCAGTCATAACAGTTCTGCCAACTTCGATGCCACAGTTTAAGCTTTAAGGTTTGTACAAAGAGGAAGAGCCTGTAAATGTTAGCATTAAAATATAACGCTCTGGACTCCATATGTCCCAAAGTGTCTGTGAGTTTGGACAACGGCTCAGACCACACACGAGTTATGAAAATATTAACATTCAGTAGGACATGCTACAGAACGAGCATGTGTGTGTAGGTGTCATGGAGTCACACACAAATGGCCCCACTCACTGCACTAGAAAACTATGAGATACGTGTGGATTTTTATTTTGAAAATATAAAAAGCCGTTCATATTGTAATTCTATTATGTTATATATATATATATATATTATTTTATATTTATTATATATATATATATATATATATATATATATTTTATATTTTTTTAGTGTTTACTTTTAGTAGGATATGTCAGAGGTGGAGACTTGCAAGACTTGAGACTTGACTTTACTAAAACATGGGACTTAACTTGGACTTGAAGGACTTGGGACTTGACTTGGTGCTTTTCCTAAAAGTACTGCAATGAGTTACTAGAAAATACTTTTCTCTTTACAGTTGATAAATAAGGTGGTGAATTTTGCACCACCTCAAACTAGAACAAACTGGAACATGTCCCTCTCATTTCCATTTGGTACTTTAGATGGAATTGAAGTACTGCGATGTGGTATCCTCAAATGTACTACAGTAATATACAATAATGTAAACAGTACAATGCAGTAAAACAGAGGGAACTACAAAAAACATGATCCTTCCATTTCAGTGCAGACTACATGACAAAATAACTGCACTTTTTAAATCTGAATTCTTTCTGTTCTGACCGTAATGATTCACACTAAGATCATGTCAGGACATTTAAAAAGAAAAACTAGCATTTCTACAACTCTTATATAAATACTCATATATAAATATACCAGGACTTTTTAAGTACAGTTTAGTTTAAAATTCATATAAATTGCAAAAATCTAAAGACTTGGACTTGACTTATGGGCCAGTGACTCGAGACTCAACTTGGACTTGCAAATATTTGACTTGGGACTTGACTCGGACTTGAGGTCAAAGACTTGAGACGTAGTTGAGACTTGCAAAACAATGACTTGATCCCACCTCTGGTATAAGTACACGCAAACTCCACAGTGAAAAACTCGACTTTTGCAGGGATCTTCTACAGAGCCTCATTTCTATCCCACGCAAAATTGACTCTTATAAGTGTTAAGTCGTGTTAGAATGTTGAGACCTCCTCAAAAACACACCTGGACTTGCGTTTTGTTTCATTTACATATGTTTTTTGTTTTTTAATTAGTCTACATCACCAAAGCTCAAAATAAATTGTGATGTCATGAAGCGGTAGATTGCAGGGCTGAAATGATCCAAATGATTCTAGTGAAGGTGCATGTGTGAGTTTAAAAACACAGTGGAGCACTTCCTGTGTTACCACATGACATCACAATGTGGTTTGAAAGAAGAACTCCGCCTAAATGTGCAGGTTTGTGTGTTAAACGTGTGTGAATGAAACAAAACACAACTCCAGGTGTGTTTGTGATGAGGAAACCACATTAGAACATAGTGTAAAAATAGCGTCATACAGGCCCTTTAAATAAAAATAAACATCTGATTCCTAAATTTTCATCAATTCAACATTTAATTGGTTACAGTCTCTTAGTTTTTTGTTTATTTGTCCAGTATATCCTCTAAATCATCTCTAACCACGGTGACTAAAACTGTGTGGAGTAAAATTTTCACCTGGGGGTCTGTTAGTAATGAGGATTGTATGTACTTTTTACGAGTGTGGAACCCGCAGTATTTGCCCTCTCCTGGGTGTATTTGAGAGGTACTTGCGATTGAGTCACGGCGCTTCAGTGGTGCAGTGGAAAAATCTGCTTTACCGGTAACATATGCTCACCAGACGTCAGGCTCTGTTTACTCCACCTCTCACAGAGCGATGGAGAAACCACGGGCGGAACACAACACACGGGCCCGGGCGCTGAACCTGCGGCGGCCTGTTACCACGCTTCTGCACAATTACTCACTTCAACAGGGGGGAAAACATGTACGCGCTGGTGACTAATGACTAATGATTTTCTGTGCTGTTGTGTCTACGGGAGGTGGTGGTAGTGGTGGGTGGTGCGGCGGGTGAGGTCACGCACCAGCTGAAGATTCTAGACTCCGTATGTTACTTAACTGTCTGGAAGTTTGGGCAAAGACAAGAGAAAAGCAGAGACCAGAGTCCTTCTAGAACATGACGCATAATTGACTCTAGTGAGTGTTAAGTCATGTTAGAATGTTTTTTTACATCAACAAAAACAGACTTGGAGTTGTGTTTTTCTTATTCTGTTATTAGTCTGTCTGCATCTCCAAAGCTCAAAATGCTCTGTTCCACCTTGTGATGTCATGAAGTGGTAGTATTCAAGTGAACAGCTCCTTTTATGTTTTGTTAAGTAGAGATGGGAAATCCCGGGTCATGGTACGCCACCTGATCTCTCTCTCTCATCTAATATATTGAGAGAGAGAGAGAGAGAGAGATTAGAGATAGATAGAGAGATATAGATATAAAAATAAAAAACAAATATAAAATCACCTACAAGTTAAATGTCAAACTGGAGCTATTTGCAATGATTAAAACAACCTGCAGAGGCTCATGATGTCTGTCCTATAGAGACCTGAATAAGGACTAAACCAGGACTGAACCAGGACTTAACCAGGACTGAACAAGGACTAAACCAGGACTAAAACACATCTCTCTCTCAATTCCAAGATTAGTCCTGGTTTAGTCTTGGTTCAGTCTTGGTTCAGTCCTGGTTTAACCAGCGGTGAGGAGCTATGAGATACAGATCAAACCCAACAGATTCTTCATTAAAATCGTCTGCATAAATAAACTCAACTCAATCATAACCACTATAGATCCACATCAGCCCGTTTGATCAGATAATTCAGCTCTGATCACATTTGTTTACGTTTTACAGAAACGAAACTTAAGACTGCATGGCTCATTTACATAAACTATTAGTGGTGATAAAAACAGCTCACTCCTTGTGCCGCTGATGTGGTTCAGCTTCTTTTGGACTAAATGGCACGACTCAGTGGATTATGTGTGTTCTTTTTGTGAAAGAAAAGGTGCTGATGATGGTGAGTGTGTTCTGTGCATATATCGTACAGGAGATAGTTCATGTTTTAGCTTTTAAGTGATCATACGAGTGCAGATTTAGTGCAGCTCTTTATTTTACAGTGATTTCACTCATGTATGATCACTTTACTTATTTTGTTACTGTTGTGATGAAAAGACTGGAAAGTGTTTGTCTTTTGGACGCATGCACACTCAACTTTATGTTGCAGTAACCGTGATACTGCGTATACATGCCACAAGTATCCCTGTTACTATTGGAATATACCAGCTACAGTATCCCAGTTTCTAATAACCAGGATACTGCCATAACTGGGATACTGTGTTTACATGCACCATGAAGAAACCGGGACACTCAAAAACCCGATCATTATAACATGACTTAAAGCTCAGAAGAGTCAGTTTTGTGTAATATAGGACCTAGTGAGAGTAAAATTCCAAGGATTACATCATGAGTGAGAGAAATGCAGCGATGACTCTGTTTGAACACATTATGTCACCCTTTTCCATCTCATCATTTAAGCAAAAGCAAACCACATCATCTGTTTGTGGGTAATTACTCATTTAAAGACAAAGAAAAGCATGTACTTGACTTGAGACATTTGTATGAGGTGACTAGATATTCAAAACAAAAAACTGGGATGTCCCTGCTTTGAGTTATAATAAAACTGTGAAACGAGTGTGGAATTAAGGAAAACAGCCTCTATTCACGCTAACATCACAAACCAGGAAGACGTTTGGAAACATGCGATGAAACTTCCAGTGTCGGGAACTACACCGGAAGTTTTTGTCACATCTTTCCAAACATCTTCCTGGTTTGTAGATGCAAAACAACTTTCTCCAGCTAAACTCAGACAAGACTGAAGTCATAGTGTTTGGTCCACAAAAACAAAGAGACAGAGTCAGCATCTCCTCCAGTCTCTCTCGAAGAAAACCTTCAAATCAGGCGAGAAATCTAGAAGTAATAATGAACTCAGACTTGAACTTTATCAGCCACATCTTTATCATCAATTTGCATCAGATTTTATCCCCATTTCTCACAATATGGTCATCAGTTACACCAAAACTATTCTCCAGCAGCAGTTGACTACAGATGTGATGTAGACAAACGACTCGAGGTTGAAATGACTCTGACTCATCCCTTTAAATGCGATATAAAAATAAAAATGACTTGACGTAAGAATTTCATTGTGAGAAAAATCTTACATCACAACAAAACAAAATCTAATCAAGTTAAGATGACTTGAATTAAAAACGTTTTATCATGATTTGAGTCAGTTTCACTTGACAAATGAAATGATCTGCCAGTGCAACAAGACTTTTGGACTTAAAATATGAAAATACATTTCACTGTACTTAAAATAAGAAAAACAACAACAACTCTCTTCACTTAAAATATGAAACAAAGTCGAATGTTGCTAGAATTAAGAAAAACACACTTATTCCACTGGCAAATCATTTTACCAGTCAATTTGAATTAACTCAAATAAAGTCAAATGTTCTGAATTGAAGTCATTTTAACTTATGAAGATGTTTTGTTTTGTTTTTTCCCAGTGTAGAAATAATAAAAATCTTAGAAATGAGTGAACATAGAGTCGACTCGCTCTCGGTGACAGTGATTTCTTGAGAAGTTTAAACCACAACATGGAAGTTCTCGAGTGTAATTCTATTTACACACATTTTTCTTAAAAGGCACAGTACGGAACATTTCACCTGAATTGTAAATAGAAAGTTAAAACCACGTTTCAGAACATTCTTCATGGACATGGATAGGTTTTATTTTAGGGATGTAACAATAACCGGAATATCGTGATATCGTATTGTAAAAAAGTATCGAGAGCTGTCACAATATATCGAATCACAAGTTCCTTTGCTTAAATACAGGTTTTATAGCAGCTACAGCTTATGAACATCAGGAAACTACATCTCCCATGATTCATTTCAGCGCAGCCAACATGAAGAAATATGAGTTTTACTTGAATTCTTAGGATTACGATGGAAATAATTCACACCAGAATCTTATCAAAGTATTTTAAACGCAAAAACGTGTCCTATCCACAATTATATCCGCCTCTTCAAAATATCATAACAAATATCGTATTGTGAGATGTATATCGTGATAATATCGTACCAAGATATTTTATGGCTTAATGTGGAAGATTACAGGCAAAGGAACAGGATTTTAGGCAAAGTAAGAGTCGGGTTTGTGGAGATGCGAGCGCACTCAGTAAGGACACATTCGGTTTACAATTGCAGTAAATTATTAACTATTATCTGGCCAAAAAGTTACACACTGTGCCTTTAAACTCACATAAAAATAGTAGATGTTTTGTGAGATGTTCTAAATCGTATTACAGTGTTTTTTTATTCAAGTTTTTAATTTAAAGCCAAAAAAACTGCAATTCTTCTATCATGTTTTATACGATACTTGAACCTCAGTCAAGACATTTACAGAACTGGCATCATACAGTGTAAATATTATATTATTCTTAGAATTAATACAATAGAAGTAGTAGTAATAGCAGTAATATTTTAGGATCATCTAAAAAAACAAACAAAAAAAACAACAACATCCTTCTATGTGATTCAGTCTGTACTAGTATATGCAACATTTTAAGATTTTAATCCCATTCAAAAGGCAAAATATCATGTTTTAAATGGTTAATCGCCATGGTAACAGTCCCAGTTGTGCTCACTGTGGAAAGCGTGGATGAATAAAAGCGTTCTTACCTGAGCGGTGTGCTGTTGTGCTGGTGTGCTGTTTGTCTTGTTCTTCAGTCGTTCAGAGCTCCTCACGTCTCGGCTTCTGCTTCGTCAATGTGTCCGTCCTGAAAGAGCGTCAGGGTTTTATAGAGAACAAGCCCCCTCCCCTCCCTTTTCTCTTTCTCTCTGTTGCTCTCTTCTTCTCCCTCTCTCCCTCCTCTCACTCTCTCTCAATTACTGATGGTGATGTCATAGATGTGTCTGGTTCCACTTCCTCCTGATTCCTCCTCTCCTCTTTCCTCCTCTTCTTCTCTCCCCTCTTCTCCTCTCCCCCTCCTCCTCTTCCCTCTCCTCCTTTCCTCATCTTCCCTCTCCTCCTCTTCTTCTCTTACTCTCCTTTACTCTCCCTCTCTGTCTCTCCCTCACTTTCTCTTTCATTCTCTTACTTTCTCTCCTCTACTCTCTCTCTCTCTGCTTCCCTTTCTCCCCTCATCTCCTTTTCACCCCTCCCCACTCTCATTTTCTTCTTTCTTTTCTTCCTTGTCTCCTTATTCTCAAGATAACCTCTCTCCCCCTCCCCCCTCCTCCCTCCTTCTCTTCCCTTTTCTCGTTCCTTCAGTGTTTTGTCCGTGACGGAGCGTGGAAAGTCTCCAGTGAGTGTCCAGGAAGAGCCGTGTCCCCAGATAACAGCTCGGCCTCATGTGGAATGTCTGACACAGCAGATGAGCAGACGACAGGGTTTTCCTATGGCCCCAAATACTCACACGTGTTTTTCATTCTAACACGTCGCTCCTTTCAGCTTTATTCTCTCTCTTCTTTAGTCATATCCTGTTGTGTAACGTGCCTCTTCACTTCTTAAAGCCACGCTCTGTCACTTTTGAACCAAGAGACAAAAACCAAAGCAGACTCTTTTCATTTAGGCTGCTCTTGGAAATGGGAAAAATATGTGAGTGGGCCTGCTGCTCCACAGACCTGACTCATATCTAACCATAACACAAGAACTGATCTCCATGTATGGTCTTCTCCCCAAAAAGTTACACACTGTAGCTTTAAAGAGCCTGTGTTGGAACACTCATTTGACTAAAACATTTAAGATCATTAAGATTTAATGACCCCCTTTTTTTTTCTTTTTTTTTTTTACTTTTTTTCCCCCCAGTTTGGGTTTTAATTTGTTGGAAATCATCATATCCCACTAGAGAATTCCTCTGTTACCTAGCAACCATGTGCACTGGGCCAAAACTCTAAACCATTGTACAGAGAAAACTCCTACAGGGTTCCCACTCCTCTTCAATGACAACATTTCTAAACTTTTCCATGACTTTTTCATGAGCTAAAGTGAATTTTCCATGACTTTACAGCACCTACATGTGTAGAATGGATCAGACTTTTAGAGTTAAATCTGAAACGTTAACTCTTTCCACTCACCTTATGGTTTGGGATTATAGTTTTTGAACGTTCAAAATCCTGTCAGTGCATTTATTGTCGTCTCTTTTAAACAAAAGGTGCAGATGTTCACAAATATTCAGAACAGACTCATGAGAACTGAACAGAACGCTGTAGATGTGTGAAAGAGAAACTAAAATTCCTGGACTTTTCCAAAACTTTCACTGAATTTACAAAACATTTCCATCCCTGTAAAAGGATATTTTCAATTTCCATGACTTTTCCAGGATTTTCATGACTGTGGAAACTCTGCTCTAACCCGAAAATTGTCACCAAACTTTTTTCTCTGGGGCCACATTATGGCTCGTGACTGTGATGGGGGCTGGGGTGGGGTCAGGGGTTGGGGGTCGGGGGTCGGGTGGGGTTTATAACAGGACTGTATGATCCTGATGACACAGATTATATTGTTTGAAAACCGCCACATTTCTTTACATTTGATCTTGAGTTTGTCAGGTGACGAACATTCTGCAGCGCAAGTAAATACATCATATAATTATTAAAATATAAATATAAATATAAATGCTTCATATAAATATCATTTTTTTATTGAAAAAATAACTTTGACATGGCCATGACAACTTTTGAGCATTGCCTAATAGGTCCAGGTAAAGTGGTGGGGGCTGGGGGGCTGGGGGCTGTGGGACTGGGGGGACGGACAAAGGGGCGTGGCAGGCCGCAGTCAGCCCACGGGCCTTAGTTTAATGCCCCTTACTTTAAAGGAATGTAAAAATCACTTTGAAAATGTATAAAAGGCAGATGTTTCCTTATGGTTTTATCCAAGCACATGCCACAGACGCTGTGAAACAGGTTTGGTTTTCACCAGCAGCTTCTTATAGCGCCCCACACAGGACAAGCACAGTAACTGCATATTTTATCAAAAGACCAAAAAACTGCTTGAGCCATTAAACACCACTTCTTAATGTTAAATTTACTAAAATACAGACACAAATATCTGTATGTGTGTTGGAGAATTTCACAAAACTCAGATACTGTAACAGGTTTTCTTCTCTAATTCTGAAATAAAACATGAATCATTTCTTATTCAACACATTATTTTTTCTCAGTGTCACTGTCACAGTCACTGTGTTGTTGTGTGGGGGCAGTGTGGTGTATCAAGTACAAGTAACTTCTGTGAAAAGAATAAATGCAAGTCAGGCCCTGGTAATGGTACTCGAACTAAAGGTGCTGTCCCTGATTTATTTCAATGTCAGTAGTTGGACATCCATTCATACCTGATGGCCACACCTAGCCCCACCCTTCTTTATTCCTGGACCATAAATTGCTTTATAATCAGAAGCAGAAAGTCCACATCAGTTTTATTTGGACCCCAAGATCTGCTTACACACAATATCTGTACTGGGGCGAGACTTTTTGTTTCTATTGGTCAAAAACCCCAAACATGAATTCTCACTGTTATTGGGCTCCACCAGAGAAGTGACAAAGTGCAAATTTAATGGAGGTTTACCAAACGAAAACACATCACAAGAGCCAATTTTTATGAACAATTTAAAGGTCCCAGTAAAACCACAGCGCAGCCCATTTGGCGGAGAATGCGAGAACATGGGCTCGTCTTGGTATCTTTAAAGAAGTGCTTTCAAACGCTGCAGAGGTGACGTCATGTTTGAGTTTGTTCCCGCACTTTGATCATGTTGCTAGTCTTGTTCTTTGTAATCCAAAGTCACGGCTTAACGCCTTTTCTAATTGGCATGAAATTCTAACTTCAAAAACCGAGCTACAATGAACACTGTTATTTAACCTCAAGTACTCGAGTAATATGTTAAACGCGTGCTTAAACTGTGTCTGGTGGGTAACTTATTTAAAATGCCATTTTTATAGGTTGTGTTTATGACAGTAAAGAGTATGATGTCATCATTTGAGAAGAAGGGCAGGGGCCTATAACTCTGGATGATTAACAGTGTTTGCAGGAAATAACTCAACTCAAAGTCCTCAAACTTACTTGACTGACAAGTCCAGAATGATAGGCTTATCTCTTGTACTTTTTCTACAGAAAGGTGTGTGTGGTCACCACAGCCTCAGTCACATCTTGAGTCAGAACCAAACATGATCTCAGTGACATGTGTGAAACAAAAGAGCTCATTGGTCATCTGTCATTTTGAACAAAATGACCTTTCTCTCACGTCAGATGAGTTTAGAGCTTCACTCATTGATTCTACATTGTTTTAGTCACCTGTGATTTTTTCTTCTCCATTCTTTTTTCCTTGTATGCAGCCACATTTGTGTTGATATGGACGGACCATGTGTGTTCTGTCAGTCATTAGGAGATTCACTGGTGACCAGACTCACATCTTCGGAAAGTACTGCAGTGTGTGTTCTGGATCTCAGGCAACAAACTGCCACATTAAACTGTGACACAAACGAAATGGTTTATTTTGGTGAAAAGAGGCTGAAGTCTGTCAGCGTCGCCATGTTTGATGTTTGTTCTGGTTGGTCTGTTCTGGTTGGCTTGGACGCTTTGTCTTATCACATCTACAGGGTCATGTCAAGATGGATTCTCATGAGTTTGTGAACTCACAAATATGTCAAGAATCCATTTGCTGTGTAAGGTTAGGTGAGAGTAACAGTTTCACTGGAACAACATGGTTATACAGTACTTAACATTTGACTCCTAGTTTATATTGTACTTCATATGTGGACACGAGCAGCACATACAACATACACAGAGGTAATGCCATAACAACATCTTTATTTTGTTAAAGGAAGGTTTAAACTAGTAGAAAAATGTCTTCCTCATGTGTAAACTGTCATGGAAACATTGAACATCATTTTTGTGTTGGGGACATGAGTAGAGTGATTCAGTATCATATTTTAACTTTACTTTACTTTACTTTACTTTACTTTACTTTACTTTACTTTACTCACTTTAACTTCCTAGGACCTGAACTCTTGCGTCTTTATTGATTTCTCTTTGTTATTTGGGCGGACTGGGACGTGATGAGTCCAAAAACAAAGAATTATATTTTTACATGATTTAGTTTCTGAGAAAAATGACATCCACATATGATATACAGTATAATATATGCATTCATTTTATGTTTTAATTGTATTAATGGAACACAATAAAGTCACAATTGAATAATGATTTGTAAAAACTATTTATAAGTGCCTGAACAACCCAAAATGTGTTGGAGATACACGTGCACATATGTGGACCCCAGGTCCCAGGACTTTATCACTACTTTCTGTGTTTCTGTCCTTGTACTCTCAACTTTTTGCAACTTACGATGTAAAACTATGATAAATGTTTACCACAGGTACATCATCCTGTCAAAATAATTACAATATTGACTTAACAATATATTTATCGTGTGTATAATTTCTTTGTAAAAAGAGAAAAGTTAGATTTTTTGGTTGTAATACAATAAGATTTCAGATGAAAAAGTGACTTCTTTGGCTCAGTACTGGTTCATTCTGCTACTTATTTGTTGCAGCTCATGACTTGATAATGTCTATTTAACAACAGAATATCCTGTTTTACTGTTTCAGTGACATAAAGTAGTTTTAATATTCTGGTTTATCGCAGTACATCTCTGTAGTAATATATCATACTTTAAAATGTGTCATTGTGACAGGCCTACAGGTTCTGTCCCCCCAAAACAAGTCCAAATGATTCAACAGACAATAATTACACCTTTGTGGTCAAATAATATCACAATTTTTTGAAACTACTTTGGAAAAAAACTAAAACAAAACATTAT